CATCCAATCGATGCTAATTATATTGAATTCATTTTTAGTCAATAACTCTATTGACATGTCCTATGAAAATGATAATTCATTATTAATCAATAATAATAGCAAATAATCATTTAATATCATGTATAATAAATTAATAAAACATGTTAAGTAATTTCATTTGAATTCTATTTTTAAAATATTGTAAAAATTAAATCCTCATGCAAGTAAATGTCATTATAAAGTTCAATAGTATTTAAAGCTTAAATATTACAGTGATTGGAGTCTATATATAATACCCATAGTGTTTACACCCGTTTCAATCACAATTGAACTAATATAACTAGCTTATAGTTAGCTTATATAATATATTATAATAATGTTTTGGATTCAATTCAAGTTAATCATAAATTCGTGTGTTTTTGGTTTTAATCGGGATTACTGTCTAAATGGCATTCAAATAATATCGAATAAATAGTTGTATTAATAAAAGTTTATTTTCAAATATTAATCGTTTGAAATGTTTTGACACTTTATTTTGAATTTGACGTCAATTTGTAATATTTGAATGTATTATTCGAAGGACTGTTTGACTCCTATTTATAAACATCCAAAACATCCAAAACTATGTTTTATTAATTTAAATATAGATTAATATTTGAGAAGCAATTTGTAAATACTTTGATCCACGACTGGAACCCATGCTCTAAATAGCCATGAATTATGATTTTGAGATCATATTGCGGATTGAAGTCTAATAGATCATACGTTCCGTCATTTTTAGCGATTATTTTCTCAAACTTTTCCGGATTTCTTCGCGTCTTCAGCAGAAACTCTACTTTTAATATATCGACAGAAATAGGAAATAAATTTATTGGTCTATAGATTGACAGAAAAGGCTCGGCGATGGAAAAGCATCCGTATTTGCCATAACAGCGCACCAGTAGCTTGGCACCGGAGTTCACTTTCGATAGATTGTCTGCAAATACAGACATTTATTATTAATCATTTGCTTAACAAATAATACAAAAAGCAATTTAATTCCTTTCATATAAAATATCATAATATTAACGTTTACTCATAAATAAATAATTATTTAATTTTATTTGACGAGAATCTCTTAAAAAAGTAAGAAATGCATGAATTTTAAACATGTCTTGCATTTGAATGTAATTATAGCTGGAAATGATAAATAAGAGAAATAATGGGAAAATTCATAATTAATTGGGAATTAGTTACCGGTTTCAGAGAGCGGTGTATCGCTTGAAGGCATTACTATATTTGAATGAATGCTGTTTTTTGTTAAATAATAGTTGGAGTCAGACATGACATGACTTAGACTCAGGTTTGTTCCGCTTCTTCCACCAAATAACTCGTACTTAATATCATTATCCGTCGCTTCCGTCATTCCTATTAGTATCCCATCCAAAGACAAACACGCGATTAGATTCGCACTAAATATTAGCAAATTTGGCCACATTTTTGGCAACATTTCTTTCATAACATATCAATCGATTAAACAATTTAAATATCCATTCATTGTATTATATTATATAATAAGTTATAATTCGGTGGCAAACCATCAAATGTACAACTTTTTGAGGTTAACACACAATGTTTCGGCAGTTTGTGATTGAACTTGAAATTACTTTAACCGTATGTTTTGTGCATAACTTCTCATCCATACATTCCCTACCATTCCCTACCATTCCCTACCATTCCATCCCTACCTTATCGGCCGTCCAATCACTAGAAATTGTTCCCAAACACTAATATATCAATTATTTGCGGATCTCTTCATTTTGAAATCACATTCAAGTCAATCGTTTTGTTTATTTGTTTTTCATATTTATTCAAATAATAATAAAATTATTTTTATAATTATAATGATTTTAGTTTTTATTTAAGAACTTGTTTCATAAATAAACAAGTCTTACGAATAAATGCAAATTTCAAATTATATGACTTTGAAGCAAATAAATTTGATGTTTTTTGTTCACAAATTATTATAATAAATATAATATAATTTTGAGATTTTATTGAAAACATTGTCATCACTTGAAATGCATAAACATTAAATTCAACAAAAAGATAGCTTTTATTTGATTATAAAATGCATTCATTTCAATACATTTTATATATTTTATTATGAAACAACATTAATATTAAAAATTCATGAAATTCTTTATTCGTTTAAAATATTTTAATAAAATTAAGAATTTTATTAATTTATTTAGGAAAATATATTAATTTTGTGAAACATTAATAAAATCTTATTTTCAATTTTTATTTCTGTACATCATATCAATTTTGATGAAAGCATTAAAATTTGATTCACATTTTGGCCTAAAGTTAGTCTATATTTATAGTGAATTTGTATTATATTTATATTTTCTCGTAATACCAAATTAGAAAACTGAATATTTGACTAAATTTTTAATGTTTTCATCCTTTTTACGACTGCAATGAAAGTCAATATAAAGTATATTTCAAAAGTATCTCACGTATTATTTTTTGAAAAAAATATTAATAAAATATTTATTATACGAATCAATCTGTTGTTTGCATTACATTTTATTAGTTTTCACAAATCAGATAATTTTTATAAAATTCTTTCCAAACATATTATAAACAAATGACAGAAAAATCGATTTCTGTTTTAACCCAAACCATCACTTTTTTGGCGCATATCTTAAAGAAAAGTCTTTGAAGGCATTGAAAAGAGGATTTGAATGACATTTTGTGATAAAAACAAAAATTTTCACTAACAGTTTTACAACATTTCGATTTAATTCAGTTTCCATAGATATTCACATTTATAATAGCAGTTGTTTATACCCCAACTGATTAAAATGACA